ACATAATAAACACACTGAATTTCCCACAGCCTAACCCCAGCTGCCCTGTATGTGTGTCTGCCATTTCTTCATTCCCATTGTCTGGGTGAGATCAGTCTGTGGGAGACAGGGATAGAGGCCGATTGCAAGGCCCCGTGGCTCTCTGTGGAGTGATCCAGGTTGACCTTAGGTATGCCTGGCACAGAGTTCATCACCACCCAGGACAGGGTAGGAACAATGCTGGCATATGACAGTTAGCATGTCACAGCTCCTATAAAAAACCACAGAAGGGAAACCGAGGCACAAGGAGGTTGAATAACTTGCCTAAGATCACACAATTAGTCATCTGTGAGGCAGGCCCAAGTCTGGGTCCCCTGCTCCCAACAACACTACATAGACAATGGTACCCAGGCTAGCATCTTCCATTGGGAAGGGGCCTGAAGCCACCAGGGGCTCCCTCAAGACTGCTGACCAAGATCAGTCCTGTCGCGACAGCCAGCAGGACACTCTGGCGCCCTGAATTTAGTGAGATCCACACCCTTTTCGAGGAAGGTGAACACACCCAGAATAATCGTGGAGCCAACAGACAGCTGAAGCCGTGTGTAGCCTGGAGGTCCCAGTAAAGAGGAGGTTCTGCAACGTGCCGCTGAGCCCAAGTGAGCTCTGGCCACCATTTCTGCCAAGATTTTTTTGGAGGGGGGAGACTGCTGCTGTTGTCATTATTGTTTCTTTGGGGGAGGAGCCATGGGACATCTCAAGAATGAAGCCTGGACAAGTTAGGCACATCTGACACTGTGAGGACTCAGAGCCACTCCCTCCCCTTGGTGCCATGATGGTTTACCGCACTCTTTCATTTCGTTGGAGAAGAGCCTGATTGGAATGTTCTAGAAACTGAAGCTTGGAGGGATGGGGGCAGGGAAAGGGGACCCCTTCTCCTGCCAGGCAAGCAGGTTGAACTTAGGCACTGGATGGGGTGCTGGGTAGAGTTGTAGGAGATGCTTCTCAGTGCTTGATGGGCACTGAGAACTTTCTGTTTGCTTGAGCAAAGCAACCCCAAGTGGAGAATGATGCTAATACTGGCAGTCAAGCTGACAGGGATGCAGTCAGCTCTATCTGGGCTGGAGGGCGGGGCAGTTGATCTAGGGTTTGGGCACTGAATGTCTGCATCAAGGGAAACCCCCGCAAGTTCCGGGAAAACTGGAAGGTTGTTGTCACTTAGCTGGTGGGCTATTTGGTATTTCCCCCTCTCACCTTTGGCACAAGGAGCAGGACACACGACTCACTGCTGGTGCCACTCTTGGCGAGTAAGCGGCCTCCCGGCTCTCGTTTGTAGGTACCACAACTGTACAGCTCGGTGGGAGCCCTTCAGTCTCAAGGACCGTTTCTGTGGTCCTCTTCAGACCTGGTGTGTGTTCAGCCATCTCCTCCTTCACGCCCGCCACTGACTCAGGAGGGTCTAGTGTCCCCAGGAGCTCCCCTCCAGCACCCTGCTCAGCTTCCTCTGTCCAAGCAGGAGTCCATCCAGGGTGGTGGGATGGCTGAGCCCCTCAGTGCTCAGGACAGGGCTGTCCCTCCCCAAGAGGGCTTTATACCCAACTAGGGCAACTTGGCAGGACAGAACTTTTCAGAGGTATGGCTCCTTAACCCTTTCCGTGCCATGGGCTTCTCAGACATCTAATGAAGCCTTCAGACCTGCTAGGAATGATTTGTAAGAATTGTATTATGAGGGCACATATGGTGTTCTTTAATCCCAGAATTCCATATGCAGAGTAGATGGGTCTCTGAGAGTTCAAGGCCAGCCTGGGCTACAGAGAGAGACCCTGCTGTCCCAACAAACAAACAAAACAATGCATTGAGGTGTAGCTGTCAGAAGAGTACTTTCCTAGCCTGCACCAGGTGCTGATGCATAGACCTTGTGTGATGTCCTATGCCTATAAGCTCAGCATTTGAGAGGTGGACACAGGGAGATCAGGGATTCAAGTCCAGCCTGGGCTACATGATACTCTGTCTCAAAAAATGAACAAACCAAAACCATATCTTTTTTTTGTGTTCTGACAAAATTCATGCAATGGACAGAATTTAAAATGCAAGTCACCAAAGTATTCAAAAAGCAAATTCGCATCATGATGTATTTATTTCCTTTCTTTTAAAAATTTACTTTTATGAGCATTGGTGTTTTGCCTGCTTGTGTGTCTGTGTGAGGGTGTTGGATCCTGGAGTTGTAGACAGTTGTGAGGTGCCATGTTTGTACTGGGAATTGAATCCTCTGGAAGAGCAGTCAGTGCTCTTAACTGCTGAGCCCCATCTCCAGACCCTACATGTTTATTTCTTTATCAGCACATTAAATAATGGGGCTTGAGAGATGGCCCAGTGGGCAAAGCTCTGCTGCACAAGTGTGAGGCCCTGAGTTCAAATCCCCACGACTCACATAAGACTGGATGCAGTGGCAAGAATCTGTAATTCCAGTGCTCCTACAATGAGATAGGAGGAGACAGGAGAATTCCCAGAACCCCCAGGGCCAGCTAACCTGGGATATAGAACATCTGACAAGAGATCCTGTCTCAATTGAGGTGGAGGTGAGGACCAACACCTGAAGTTGTAGTAGGTGTGTGCTTGCACCACACACACACACACACACACACACACACACACACACACACACACACACACACGGTTTTTTAAAAATGAGATTTAGGACTAAGGATGTGGCTTGCCTAGCAATTGGGATGCTCTGAGTTCCATCCCAAACTCTGCAAAAAACAAGCAAACAGTTATAGCAGTAAGCCCAAGATGGCTTTCAGAATGCTGGCTGCTTAGGTCTCAGCACATTTACAGTACCTCTCATACGGGCGTATCTGATTGCTACCGGTGACAAGGACTTCATTCAGAATCAAAGGGAATGCTGGGTAGTATCCAAAAGACCAGCAACCATAAAAGTGGAACTTGGTCCATCCCAGTGTCACAGCCCCCTCAGAATTCTATTCTCGGTCCACATGGGAGCCCAAGAGCCCCCACTTCCAAGCAAAGGGTCCTTGATTCTTTGGGGTGCATAAGGGAAGCATTAAAGGTTATGAGATCTAAGAGTTGAGAACAGTGGCCAGGTAGGGTTGGGTTCAGAGGAGAAAGACTTCCAGAAGGGAATGTCAGAGCTCAGAGATGAGTTCATTTGCCAGGGAGCAAATGGGGAGTGAGGGAAGGCAACATGACCAGACCCGAAACACAGAAGTGACATCAGAGACACAGCACCATACCAGAGCAAGCCACTGTCTTCTCTGTCCCCAAGGCATTGTCCCCATAAGACAGGGCACCTGCTCATAAGCTTACACCAACAGACAAGACAGATGCATACGTTAGTAGGAAGACAAAAGGGCAAGGAAAAGAAAAAAGTGTGGCTGGAAGAATCTAGAACATACCACATATCTGGTTAAGAGCTGACAGTGTAAGCCACAGGCATTCAAGGGTGGTGTCGCTCCTCTGTGAAGTTTGTGGTGAGGATCAAAGGCCAGCAGCTTGGAAGGTTGGTTAGAGCATGCTTTGAGACAGTGGTGACTGCTCAGGTCTCAGTGACCTCTGTAAAGTGAGAGTAATACTTAAGTAGGCACCGACTGTATGCTAATGCTTGCAATGGGTGCAGGAGGTGCTTGGAGATTTCAGGAGACACTGACTTTAGGGTGGTAGGTGTGAAGACATCTGAATGAATGGATGGATGGGTGAATGAATGAATGAACAGATGAATGGATAGGTGCGTTCTCTAAATAGATGCTTCTCTCAGCAAGGCAGCTGGGAGAAATGATGGCGAGACCCCCAGCTCTGGGCTCAGCTACATCACTGCAGCCTGAGAGAATGTGGTGGTGGGAGGTGGCTAGTCAGGGCTGAAGACAGGCACGCTAGGATCGTCATTGCTTGCTCTTCCCCGGCCTACCTGGCGTCCCTGAATCTGAGTTTGCCAGTGGACCCGCGGGCACGAAGGCTGCGGACAGAGGCGGGTGAGGAGCCCTGGATCCGCTTAGTAGGGGACGGAAGGGCGACCTACGCCACTGAAGGCTGCAGTAAGGGAATTGACAAGCATGTATCTTCGCACGCTATGGTTGATGCCAGATCTTTGCACGCCACAGTCACCCGCATGCGTGAAAATCTGGGGCAGGGGAATTTGGGACAGGGAGGGAGGGGCGGCGAGCGGGAAGTGGCAGACTTGGTGGGAGAGGGCACCCCAGGAGGGCAAGTGAGCCGATCCAGACCGCCAGCCTCTTTAATTAAGAAGCTGCAGCTCCCGGCTCTGCCGCGCTCACCGCGGCAGTTTCGAATGCAGACTGCGTTAGACTATCTGAACCCCGCTAGGCCTGCAGCGCCGCACGCAGGCGAGGGCTTTCCGGGCCGTTGCTGGGCGGAGCCTGAGCTGCAGCAGTTGAAAGGCGCCTAGCAGATAAGTGGCGCAGCTCGTGGGTAGGCGGAGTCCGAGGGCCTGTGGGCGTGGCCAGGGCTGCAGGACCTGAGAGCCCAGTCTCAGCGGGTGAAATCGCTGCATTGGGTGGAAGGGGAGTGGCCTATGCCCGCAGAGGGCGGTCCAGGCAAGGGGGCTTGGCCTTCGCCTATAGAGGGAGAGTCAGGAAGGGGCGTGGCCTTTGCCTGCAGAGGACAGCCAGGCAGGGGGTGTGGTCTATGTCTGCAGAGGGCGGGCCCTGGGGGTGTGGTCTGTGCCTGCAGAGGGCGGGGCCCGATGCAGAGGGGGCAGCGCCGGCGGAGAGTCCTCTGCGCGCCGCTACTGCGGCCGGTCCACAGCAGCTCTGACAGTCGCGGCGCAGGCACGGAGCCCCTCGCCAACCCCACGCAACCACAGCGACCTCCGGCTCGTCTCGCTCTCTCTTCCGGCGCTGCGGAGCTGCATCTGGCGTGCATTTGGCACCACTCCGTCCGCGCTGGAGCCCGCGCCCGCCCTGGCCCGGCCACGCCGGGAGCCCGGCCCCGAGCTGGAACCCCATCTGGAGCCGCGGGCCCGGGGCCCTGAGCCGCGCAGCCGGCGCATGGTCAACTCGCTGCTGTTCGGGGAGATGGCCTTGGCTTTCGGCTGCCCGCCGGGGGGCGGCGGCTGCGCAAGCGGTGGCGGTGGTGGTGGAGCCGGGCCGGGGCCCTCGCCCGTAACGGCGGCACTGCGGGACGATCTGGGCTCCAACATCCACCTCCTCAAGGGGCTCAACGTGCGCTTCCGCTGCTTCTTGGCCAAGGTGCACGAGCTGGAGCGGCGCAACCGGCTTCTGGAGAAGCAGCTGGAGCAGCAGCAGAGCGAACGCGAGCGGCGACTGCGCTACAAGACGTTCTCCCGGGAGCAGGCCGTGCAGACTGGGCCCGAACTGCTGCGGCCGCCGGCGGCGGGCGGCGGGCAGGCCCTCGGCGCGGCCACCGGCATCAACGCCAACGCGGTGGCCCTGGGCGGCCTGCCCCCCGGCGGCGGATCGCACCCGCAGCACTACGGCCGCTTGCCCGGGACCATCTGGAGCTACACGCAGGTGCGGCGCACGGGCGGCGGCGGCGTGGAGACAGTGCAGGGCCCCGGCGTGTCGTGGGTGCACCCGGACGGCGTGGGCGTGCAGATTGACACCATCACGCCAGAGATCCGCGCACTCTACAACGTGCTGGCCAAGGTGAAGCGCGAGCGTGACGAGTACAAACGGAGGTGAGTGGGTGCGCCCCTCCTCCGCCGCTCTCGGGATGGGCAGCGGGGCCTGACAGGTGGGCTGCGAGCTGCCGGGAGGACTCGGTCATCTGAATCCAAGAGCGCAGGGCTATTGCAGAATACCTGGGCGCCGACCACCGGGGCCAAGCACATTGTTTCTCAGGGACGTAATAACCAGAGGACTTGTGGTGATCTCATTCTGTCCACATGACAATGCGGTGTGAGGCTGCCTCGTCCCCATATTGCAGATGAGGAAACTGAGGAGAAGAGGTGCTAAGTGACTTGCCCAAGGCGACTTGGCTAATCGGTGGTGAAAGTCAAGATTTGATCCATTGATGGGAGTCCTGGCTGGTGTGTCTCCCAGGCTTGGTATTTCTCCAGAGATGTTGGTGGTAGATTCCCTTTCCACAGCAGGTGTAAAGAAAAACTCTCAACTAGTACATTATCTTTTTTTTTTGTCCTTGAATTTAATGAGCTCATGTGAGAAGATGGATTGATCTGTCCCGAGGGCCCCAAGATTGGCTGTCTTGTTCCAGGTCTGTAAGGCCCAGATTGCTGGGCTGCAGAATCAGAGCCAGTCACCAGCCTTTAAAAAAAAGTCATCCTTTCTTCACGTTCTCCCAAGTCTCAAGGTTTATTGAGGTCCCCCGGGGGAGAGACACCCATGGGTTAGAATATGGGGTGGACCCAGATCCTGGGTCCAGCTGGAAGTCAGAGGCAGACTGCTTTCAAGATGGCCAGTGTGCTCCTTGAAGTTCAGATTCCCTGGCTGCCATACTGGTACTGCTTTCTGCCTGCAGCCTGGCTAACAATACTGTCTGCTCAGCTTTCCGACACAGGGAGGGAGAGAGAGACAGAGAGATAGAGACAGGGTCTGTGTGTAGGTCTCAGGTTTGCATGGGGGAGGGGCCCTCTGGTCTTAGGCTTCTATCTCAGGCCTGTGTATCTAACTCTGCTTTTGTTGTTCTGACTCTTAAGGGAGTAGGGCCATTCCTTCCATTCCTACAGTCTCCCTGGAAGCTGGGGCCGGGTCTCCTTTCTTACCCTCTGCTGAGGTCTACTGACTGGGAAGAGGTCCAGGACTAGCTCCCATCACCTGCAGGGTAGATGGTTTGTCATCAGGGAACTGGGAATAGAAAACTCCAGACAGTGCTCCAGGGTAGAGTGGATGAGGCTCCTGTTGGAAGGTGTAAAATAATCAAGTAGATGCTATTACCTGTGATAAGCAGGGTGCAGAGCCGGCTAGAGTCCCTGTTGCAGGTGCAGGGCCTGGCTTGGGAGGGGGATCCTTTTCACTCTGGCCTTGTCCTGTGCCCCTCATAGTGAGACCACCCTCTGCCCTTGGTGGTCATCCCCATCAGAGCAGTCTAGGGAAAGAGACACTTGTCTTTGATGGTGAAACTGGAGGAGGAGGAGGGTTGGGCTGGCCCTCCTGTCCGACACCCTTGGCCATGTAGTCATGACACAGGCTTGCGCTGTATTTGTTTGGTTGTGTGTGTGCTTTTTGGCCCTGGCTACTAAGGTGATGGAAAAACTGCCCAGGCTTAGGGGAGAAGGGTTGGCATTGAGCAATGAGCTGTTCAGGTTGCACCCAGGGTGTGGGGTGTGATGTCAGCTTCTGGCACTGTCCTGGAATGAGCTGGCCCTGCTGAGACAGGTGGGGTGTGAGCACCTCTCTTCCCGCCTTTCTGGGAAGATCATGTACACTTTCCTTCCTTTTGTTTTCTTACCAATTGGAAAGACCTGTCTTCTCTGAAGTTGATTCAAAACTTTGGATTTTTCCAAAGTGAGCATTCTGCCTTGTTCAGTCCTCAGTTTACCTACCTGCAAAGCCCAAGGTTGTTGGAAATTGCTGTGCTCCTTGAAGCCCTGGGATTGCTTGGTGATACTCTTGGGGAAAGCTCCTTTAGTTAATAAAAATACAGCAAGGACCTGTGAGGTGGCTTCAGCAGGTAAAGGTGCTTACTGCCCAGCCTGACAGCTGTAGTTACATCCCTGGGAACCACATGGTGGACGGGGAGAATCTACTCCTGCAAGTTGTTCTCTGACCTCCACACATTTGCAATGACACGTATGCATATACAACACACAACATATACACATAAATGTAATAAAAATCTAGATCTAGCTGTGTGGTGGTGGTGCACGTCTTTAATCCCAGCACTCAGGAGGCAGAGGCAGGGGGATCTCTGTGAGTTTGAGGCCAGCCTGGTCTACAGAGTGAGTTCTAGGACCGCCAGGGCTACACACAGAGAAACCTGTCTCAAAAAACCAAAGGGGGTGGGGGTGTGGGGAAGCCCAAGCCAAACGCATCAAAGTGTTTGCACAGTCATGAAAGTGCTCTTGCTTTCACATTGATGTCAATGTACCTGATCCCACTAGTGTGAGATTTTAAAAATATTTATTTGTTATGTGTATGGGTGTCTTGCCTGCATGTATACACAGGCATCCTGTGCATGTCTGGTGCTGGTGAGAAGAGTAATGACTCCCTGGAAGTTGAGTCACGAGCAGTTGTGAGCTGCCATGTGGGTCCAGGGAACTTAATCCGTGTCCTCTAAAGAGCAGTAAGTGCTCCTAGCCACTGAGCCATCTCTCCAGCCCAGCATGATCACTTCAAAAAAGAAAACAAAAAGTCTCGGGAGGCAGAGGCAGGTGGATCTCTATGAGTTCAAGGCCAGCCTGGTTTACAGAGAGTTCCAGGATATCCAGGGCTACATAGAGAAACCCTGTCTCAAAAAACCAAAAGCCAAACCCTCCCACAAAACTCTAGTCTACACTACCTGCAAGGGGCTGCCTTGGCTTGTCAGTAGATGACTCTGTGTTTGCGCTGGGGTTGAAACTCCATGGCCGATCACTTACCCAGAATGCAGGGGAAATTGGGTTGCAGTAAGTGAATATATCTGAGCTGCTAGCCTACCTCTGGTACCTTGACTATTAAGAGATCACAGTCCAGGAGATGAGACCAAGGTGTATGCCTGTCTGGTCTGTAGACTGCCAAGAGCATCATAGCTTCGTGGGGGTGTCTAGTGTAGAACCCCAGTGTTGAGCACACTGGAGAGGGAAGGGCTCCAGGGTTCTCTGGCATCAATCTGGAGGATCTCAGAGCCTCCTGCTCCAGTCACTAAATGGTAAGCCGGAAGTATAGCCAGTTTGTTAAGCTGCAGGCCTTTCTGGTCCCATCTCATGATTGGTTTCTCTCCACGTGCACCTCTAGTTTCCTGCTTTCGCTGAGGTGGAATTGGTCCATCTTAAAACCACTCAGTTTAAATACAGCAATGGCTTTTCTAAAGAAAATTTAGAGCAGTGTACCCATCTCCAGGGTCTAATTTTAGAAGCTTGAATCCACTCCCAGCCCACCCAAATTTCTTTCTTTCTATTTGCAAACAGCTCTCCTCTGGAGCAGTCACCAACTTGCCTGGTGTCTCTGCCTATAAGCTTTTTCTGGACAACTCAGAAATGAGATCCCATGATATGTAGTCTTCTAAATCTGGCTTCTCTGACATAGATGGTGTTTTAGGAGTTCTTCCTGTTGTGCCTGCATACATCTGTAGAATAACCCTCATCATCGCTAAACCGCATGCACGGATGGGTAGACCCTGTTTGTCCGTCCCTTCACCTTACATAGTCTTGTGTTCCAAGCTTTAAGTCACTGAGTTCTGTGGCTGACATGGTCTACCATCAACAATACCTACCCATGGCCCCGCCCCGCCCCGCCTCCTTGGTTTCCCTTTGGTTCAACCTGCTCTTTACTGTGTAGGAAGTGTGGTCACTGAGAGTGTATAGAGGGCAAAGTTGTGGAGCGTTGATCTGGAAACCAAAACAAACACTTCTTTCTGCCGCTACCCGGTGCCACCAAGATCTCTTGTTCTGAGTTTGCAAGTTGGGGGTTTTCCCCAGGAGAATCCTGTCAAATTGTCTGAACTTTAAATACATGCATTTTAAAACAATTGGCCTCCAAGAGAGCCTGACTCCCTTGGGTCATCCCTGGATCTGTGTCGGGGCTGATCTTTTTACCTTCTCAGATGTGTTTATTATGCCCCCTATGTGCGGGGCATCCTGTTTCCTGTCTCTTTGGATGACCATGGCCCATACCATGGCATGTTTCCATGATTACCCCTCTTGGTCACTGGAGAAGGAGGCTGGGTTACTTTGTGGTTGTCAGGCAGAAGTTTTGTGTAGGTCCCACTGGCTGCATCAAGGAAGTTGTCACTACTGTTCCAGGAAGAACAATGACTGGTGGAGGCAGCCTCGCTGCCTGCGGGGCAGTGTGTGACTTTCTAGTGTCCCAGGTCCAAAGCCCTTGTAGCCCTGTAGGCCCAGTGTGACTAAGGGCTGACAGGCTTTCTCCCCTCGCTGTGGGTAGACAGGCAGGGTTTACGTGCTCCTGGCTGGCTTTGTTCTTGGTGCCTGGGTGAGTGGAGAGCTGTTAGAGGGTCTGAGGGACCTGGGTTGTCTTTCGTCTTGGTAGATTTCAAGCGGGTGCTTCAGGTCCCTGGAGCCCATAGTAGTACTTCATGGGTGATTCTGGGGACAGTGAGAGGCTGAACCCCTGGAATCTGACATATGCTAACCACAGGCTCCTTTTCCGTGATTCTAAAGGGCTGTCTGTGTGGAAACAGGCTTGCTATTGACAAAAGAAAAATAAATTACCAATTCAGCTATGTATGTTCATTTCCGAGGTTGGGAAACTGAGGCTGGGGGAGGCTTGCCATCTCCAGTGGCTTTGGGCTGCTCTTCTGTCACTTACTCCCTAATCCTCATCTGATGTGACGCCCACGTCTGCCTCAGGCAGGGGCTTCTCGAAGGTTTGCTTGCCACCTTCTCGGGTGGCTGTTTAAAAGGCTCCTTCCTAGGAGGGACTTTTGTCACAGCTATTTCTGACTATGAGACAGAAGCGGCTGGGCTGTTAGCTAGAAGGGGGGACACCAAAACGGGATGTCAAGTGGGCAGCTGGAGTGTCCCTGTCTTCCCCAGCACACCCCAGGGAGGCCCTCCAGCAG